CGGGCCGCCGGCGATGGTGACACATGCGGCGGCGGCGCGCCGGCGGCAGGACCATGGTTGAGCGCGCCAGCAAGTTCGTGCTGGTGGTGGCGGGCTCGGCGTGCTTCATGCTCATCCTGTACCAATACGCGGGCCCGGGGCTGAGCCTGGGCGCGCCCGGTGGCCGAGCGCCACCCGACGACCTGGATCTCTTCCCCACGCCGGACCCACATTACGAGAAAAAGTACTACTTCCCGGTGCGCGAGCTGGAGCGCTCGCTGCGCTTCGACATGAAGGGCGACGACGTGATCGTCTTCCTGCACATCCAGAAGACCGGCGGCACCACCTTCGGCCGCCACCTTGTGCAGAACGTGCGCCTCGAGGTGCCCTGCGACTGTCGGCCGGGCCAGAAGAAGTGCACCTGCTATCGGCCCAACCGCCGCGAGACGTGGCTCTTCTCTCGCTTCTCCACGGGCTGGAGCTGCGGGCTGCACGCTGACTGGACCGAACTCACCAACTGTGTGCCCGGTGTGCTAGACCGCCGCGACCCAGCAGGTCTGCGTTCGCCCAGGTGAGCGCCCGCTGCGGGCGAGTGTGATGGCGGGGGCGGAGCGGGGGGGGGGTGGTACCCTAAACCCCGGGCCAGATCAGCCCTCCTTGCTCTCCTGGGGCCCCTTCCGATCTGCCGGCTCATCTGTCCCTGCAGCTGCTACTCCTGACCTCTGATCTCTCTTTTCACCCTCTCTTCCGTGCCTTTTCCTCACCACTGGCCTGGCTGCGCAGTGCCCAGACTTCCTCCTGGGTCACCGCCCGCTGCCCTCTGTCCACCCCACCTACGGTGTACTGCTTGGCTCGCCTAAAAGATAAACCTCCGGACTCAAGGTCCAGCCTTGGGTCTAGAGGCAGAAAAACAGGTGTGTTTGTGTGTGTGTGTGTGTGTGTGTGTGTGTAGCCCCTACCTGTCTGGTACCAGAAGTGGAGCCCGAGAAACGAGGTCCCTCTTTTCCCTGCACCTGTGGTGTCTCCAGGTCCTCCAGTGCCTGCCAGCCTGGGGAGGAGCTGCCAGGAAAGGGGTGGGCTCTGGCTGCCGGTGTGTGCAGGTAGAACAAAGGCCTGTGTGACCCGGGCTGAAGGCGGGGAGAAGACAGCCCTACCTGGCCACCCCAGCCACAAAAGTGGAACAAAAGCGTCGGGTTGGGGGACTGCCTTCCCTAGAAATCTATCCGCCATCCAGGTTAGGGATAGCTGAGATAGTTAGGGCTACTTGTGCAGCCAAGGTCCTTCCAGCAGGGCCCTAAAGTCTCCTTGTCTGGGGGGAGTGCTGGTGAGGGGGTCAGTGGGGTTGGGGCAGCCCCCCTCCCCCAAGAAGCACTTTGTAAAGTTAAGACTGTAGTCCTGTTCCTGTTGGTGCCGGCTGGTCCTTCCCGGATCGTTGTGCACCCCCCCAACCCCACCCCAGCCCAGCCCTGGAAGGGCCAGGATTTAGGGCTTCTTGCCTGCCTTTGTTTCTCTCCCATATTCACTGTAGGACTGAATTTACAGATGAGCTAGGAAGTGGGCGTGGGCAAGTCTTGGCTGATGTCGCTGTTTTCTTTGGTTACTCTTGGGGCTTTCTGGTGGGACTGGGACCCTCCAGGGTCCAGCCAGCCTGGAGCTGTTAATGGTTCACAGGTCTGCTTGCCTTACAACCCCCAAGTCCATTTCCCCAACTGTCAGAACACTAGGATATTAGAGTTGGGTAAAAGATCTATGTTCTTTGGCCAGACACCCTGTGCCCCCACCCCTAGGAGTTCCCAGTCTCAAAGGACCCTAAGCTAGACCCAGAGTCTCCTTTCCAGGCAGCTGCTTCCTGTCCAGCAGGAGCTCTGCTATGCACACATACATGTTCCAGGTACAGGACCCATTCCATGGTTCAGCCATGCTATGCTAGATGGAGCAGCCGGGTCTGGCCATAGCAGCTGTCTACTTGTCAACCAGTCAAGGCTGTGGGTGCCCAGTGCTGGGAACTGACAGACTCCAGCAGGCTGGGGGAGGCCATCTCTGTCTGCAGGATGTGGAGGCAGGGACAGGGGGCATCCTATTTACGGGCAAACTCTGCATGCTGCTCTTGGAGCTGTAGAGAGGCCAGAGCTTTGGGGTGAGCCTACCCATCACGGATGATTATTGGCCACAGATCATAACCAGGATGCTCTTCTTGCAGGCCAATGGGTTCCCAGGGGGAAGGACCCCAGTGCCCCTTGGCTAGAGTGTGTCCCAGAACGGAGGCTCAGGTGGCCTCACGGCTGTGAATGAGAGGAACAGGGGAGGTGGATGGCACCGGATGCTCTGCACAGGCCTGGGCTGCCTGGAAAGGGTGTGTGGGGCAGGGACGAAAATGCTGCGTGGACTGCTAACCCCCTGAGCCAGCAAGTTGCTGACTCAGCAGCAGCGGACTGGGTGGGGGAGGGGCCTCTAGGGCCCTTGGTTCCAAAGCCTCTGACAGTGCCACCCAGTAGGTGACGCTGGGTTCCTCTATGTCTGCCTCACCCCATTTATTTCCTTTCTAGCCACTAAGTATATAGCCACCCCACCCCCACCCCAAACTAGCTCCGGAGACTTTTATGCATTGACCTCCTGGCTGTACCTGAGTTCCCCCACTGAACCCTGTCTCAAGCAGGACCTGTACGCCCATCTGCCCAGGGACCCTGCCGCTGCCTGCCATTGTCAGGGAAGGGGCTGAGCCCATGAAGACAGGGAGGCTGGTGTTGAGTGGTACTCACTGTCCCCGTCCCTGTCCCCCATCTCCCTGCCCCTGCCCCAAGGCTGTTCCCTCCCAGACTCCTTGTGAACTGGGTGAGGTGGGTCTTCTCTTCCTCTTCTCTTTGCCCTCGGGGTTACGATAGAGCTTGGACAAATGACTCTGCCCAGCAGCTCCCAACCTCCCCAGGGAACCAGCTGCCTGGGGCTGCTCTGAACTGGGCACACATTTGGGTGACCAGCGGGGTTGGACAGGTTGGTTACTTAACAGCAGCTCTGGTACTTCCTGCCTTGGTGGGGGGACAGGTGTGTGAGGAAAGCGTTGGAGGTTCCTGTGGCCTCTGTCAACTACAGATGTCTCACATCTGCAAGCTGTGTGCTTCTAAGACCGGCCTGGAGAGATGTGAGAGTTGCTGGCTGGCCTTGGACAGATGGAGCTGCCAGGGGGGTGGTCGTTACCAGGGGCCACTGGCACCTGGGCCAGCTCTAGTGTGAGGATGTGCCTTCCCTTTCTGATGAACACAGCAAGCCTCTGGGAGCCGGTAAAGCCCACAGTTGGTGGCTCTGGGCTCGGTTTGTGACTTCATTAGTGACGCGGGGTGAGGGCGCGAGGTTCGGGTGCCATTCTGGGGTGGTACCTCGTGGGTCTGGAGTCCTTATAGTAAGAGTCCTCCTCTCTGTTGTAGTGATAGTTTTCTGTGACTGAGCAGGAAGCAGGTGTAAGGTGGAAAAGAGAAGCCCATATCCCCTCCACGGTTTTGTTTATGTTGAAAGCCCCAGTGTCGTGGAAAGCACAGACTGTGGCAGCTGTAGCCGGGCCCTCGGTGGGTCCATTCTTAGCTGCCCCACGTGGAGAGTTGGAGCGGTCCCTTACTTCACGTCCGCAAAGAATGAGTGCCCAGTGGACACGCCGGTGTGCAAATATTTCACAAAGCTTTGATTTCCTTTGGAAATCCATCTGAGTAGACTATCTGAAAGCTCTGGAGAGCGTCCCTGTTAGATTACTCTTGGGGACATCCATGCTTCGTGCCTTCTGCTAGCCTGTGCCCTCAGAGTTCCCTCCCAGCTCCCACCTCGCTGGGATCACAACTGTGGTTTTACTAAGTTTTCTCGGGCTAGAAATGTAGCTCCGTTAGTAGAGGGTTAGCCTAGCATGCAGGAGGCCCTAGGTTCTAGCCTAGTACCACATCCAGCCAGACATGGGGGTGTACCCTTCTACCTCCAGCACTCTAGGGAGTGGGGGGGGGTGTCATAAGGTCACAGTCATCATTGGCTATATAGTGAGTTCCAGCTTGCACTAGGTCTCAAAAACAACAGTAACAAGTTTTTCTTTCCTTTCTTTATGTCTTTCTTCCTTTCTTTTTTTCATTTAAAACCTAGGCCCCGACTTGGAAGTCACTCTTATTAAAAGAAAACTATAATTACATTTTGCGTGTGTGTGTGTGTGTGTGTGTGTACACCTGCCATGGACCCACATCAGAGGTTAGAGACCACCCTTTGGAAGTCAGCTTTCTCCTTCTACCCCGTGGGTCCAACGGATCAGGTTTTATGCCTGGCATCTTTTATCTATTGAACCATCCATCTTACTGGCTCCCCAAAGTGTGTGTTTGTTTGGGTCTTTGTTTGTTTGAGCAAAAGGTACTTACGTTTTTTTAATGCAAAGCCCTGCCCTAGCCATACCATTGAGGCGGCTCGGCCTTGCAGGGAACAGGCCTTGCAGGGAACAGGCCTTGCAGGGAACAGGACGGCCGTGTCCTGTCACCCCAGATGCTTCCCCGCCCACTTAGGGACATCTACATCAGGGATCAGAGGACAGTCTGGGGTGCTGGTGAGGTAGCTCTTGTCCCTGAGCTCTTGGTGGTCATCTCAGTTGGCCCTGTGGCTTTCTGGGAGCTCAGTCCCCAATGTGATGATGGTTTTTGAGGCTCCGAGCCTTTCAGAAGGGAGCCTAGGTGATGCAGTTATCTGAGTACACCTTCCTGAGGGATAGGGAGATCCAGCCCAGTTAGTTCCTGAAAGAGTGAATCTGGGCCTTTCCACGGTTGCTCCGCGGCTTCCGGTCCAGCCACGTGCTCTCTCTTGCACGCCGTCCTGCCCTGATGTCATCTGTGCGCCACAGGGCCCTCACTAACTCGGAGCTGCTGCTGGCATCATATCCTTGGACCTCTAAGAACTGAGTTAGTCAGCTTGGCTTTGGAAAGCACCCAGCCTCGGGGATTTCATTACAATGGAAAAAAAAAAAAGTATGAGATAGTCCTCAACACCCCATAAAGCAGGTGTATGAAGATTGGCCGAGTTCAACCCGTCCGAGTGTCTGAGCCTGGAGGGCCTGGGGCAGCATTTGGATATCTGTCCATCCTGAGCCCTGTACGCCAGCCAGCCCTCATACTGTCTCCTGCCCCCAGGGGAATGATTGTCCCAGGTAAGAAAGGCAGCCATAGATTCAGGGTATACAGGCTTCCCATACCTAGACAGAAGTGTACAGTTTGACATGAAACCTGAGTCATCAGGCTTACTAGAAACCTGACGGCCTTCGCCCTAGGGCAGGAATCAAGGCATGTTCTCTTGGCTCTGAAAGAGAACACTGGCGAGGTCTGCTGACTGACCATCCGCAGCGGAGGAGGGCAGCTTCGAGCAGCGTCCCCTGCATGGCTGGGCTGTTCTCCAGTGATTGAAAAGAGTAAAACATGAGAGGCCGTGCTTTGGAAAACAGTTACAGAGTGAGGGGCAGGTCAGATCATCAGGCCAGGCTCTCCCGACCCACTGAATAAATGGTATGCACTGGGGGAGGTGGATGGCACCGGGGGGGGGCAGGTACCTCTGCCCCTCTTTTCA